AATAATTAGAAATTATGTTTAATTTAATAATGGAATAATTAGGTTGTGATCGGGTTATTTATCGTAAAATCAAAGTGGGTGATTGATTGGCATAATTAGAGTTATGGTCAATATAAATTGCCTGCGCTATCAGGTCTCTGACAACGTTTTAAACATTATTTACGTTTACTTAAAAATAAGAATATTTGAATTTTTTATAATAGTTTTATAAAAACATGCAAAAAAGTATAGTAATTGGACATTTTATATAGTCCACATGGACACATGGACCATAGTTATTGGACATACAATTTTTGCGATTTCTTACGTCAATATCCGACTTCTATAATCCAAAAGAAGTAACGTATTAAAAATGAATAAAAAAATTTTATCCACAATGCCCGATAGTTTTTTGGTTATTAAATTGTTCCTTATATCTCTTATAAAGACTACTTTTGATGATAAATGCTCAATGATACTAATTTATAGCGAAATAATTAGAAATTATGTTTAATTTAATAATGGAATAATTAGGTTGTGATCGGGTTATTTATCGTAAAATTAAAGTGGGTGATTGATTGGCATAATTAGAGTTATGGTCAATATAAATTGCCTGTGCTATCAGGTCTCTGACAACGTTTGAGAGAGATATCTAATCGGAACTTTGTACAAGCTATTCATGTAAAGTATAAAATATTCCTCTTTTTCTGCCCACGTCATCCATATTCATGGCAGGCCATGCACAGTGGCGCACCAATGAGGCAGCTGCAAACCACGATACACTTTGTCTAAAAGTAAACTAAATCTTACCAAAGCAATGTTTCAGGGCAGTTATTTTGTTTGTTCGTTTAGTACTTCGTTTCTTTGCAAAACATTTTTTAATGAGATATAGCCTGTTGGATACGAATAAAAAAAAATAAATAAATTATTTATTGTGGCAGATCAACTAATTTGTGGCTATATACAGTTCATTTTTTTTTATCTGGACTCGTGTTTTTTTGTCAAGTTGGTGGCTTATGCCAGTTTGACTTAGTTTTTTAGTATTTAAAAATGGTACTTCTGCTAAAGAATTTAATTAAATACTTTGACACTGTCAAATTGACAATAATATTTATTATTGATAATTTACTTGTCATTTATAAATAAAAAGATAATTGTGCCAAAAATAATAGCAACGAATTCGAATGTAAAAGCCCTTTTGAGGGCAAAACTTCATTTTAATGAAATTATGCCAAATGCCACAATGGAAGAAAAATTAGATCACCTTATGGACATTTTTGGAGTAAAGTAAATTTGGTTTAATAAATATTACATCACACATTATTTTCACATTATTCACCATTGGACAACATTTACGTTCACAAAAAATTTCTTTTATATAAATTCTTTTCAGACGAAGATTATTATCCGCTAGGAATACTTTCTCTTCTGGGCCGTAAAGCAACCTATATTTAACTACTTTTTTATATGATTTTACCCATCCAAGCACCACCAAAGCCAAATTAATTGCATTTTTAACTACGAGTTTCGACGACTCAACTTGACAACTGCACAATGTAACCTACAATAATTTATACATAACCACAATTAGATTTATAACTAGCTTAGTTTGTTTTAATCAATGCGACCAACTTGACTTGTATTTACCAACCAAAACCCTAAATTTGCAACGTTGCCGCAGTCTAGATAAAAAAAATTAACTTTATATGACAGTAACTGCACTTTTGATGTTTTAAATAACTTAATTCTACATAAATGTAAAATGCTCTCCGCCACTGGCCCTAATATCTGTGACGTGCGCATTGACCAAATATGCAAACAGTTCCGACAGAACAGAATTCGGTATTATGACAAATTGTTCGGATTCATTTGTAGCGCTGATATTAGTCACTATTGTATTTGGATTACTGGACAATTAATCAATTTTTCTAATTTGCTTGCTCGATACATTATTACGGGTTATTTATGGGGCGAACGTTTGTTTTCCTTATGCGACCGACAAATAAAAGAGACCGATTTTTTTAGCACTCTGCATTCAAATCAATGTTTGGTTTTTACATTGAAAACAACTATTTGATTTAAAAAAGGCTTTTCAAATGTTTTTTTCTATTTGTTTTATAGATGTCGCTCCATACAAATATTTAATTTAAATAGTTTTAGATAATAATAGTATTTGTCGTAGAAAAATATATATACTATATACTATATATATATTATATACTGTTATATACTATTATTGCATAATTCAATTCGTTTATAAATTTTTCTTGACACTCATTTAATTAAAATTAAATTCGTGTCTAAAATGAAGTTTATCAAACTTGGTACATAATATACTAATATCTTAAATGCTAAATTTGCCCTTTTATTTTATTTGTTTTATATAATAATTATATAAAACAAATTAAATAAAATTATTGTTTCATATTTTCTTAATTACCAAATAGACAGTGTACAATTGTACAAATATGGTGTAAGCAAAGAAGGAATTTTTTAAAAATGAATTAAATGTACAGGGTGAAACGTATCTTTATTTTATATTTTATAAAAAAAATAAGGGAGAAATTTGTCGACAATTCAAATTTAAGTCAAAATTAAATATTTCTTTTTTCGACCATTCCAAGCCCATGGATAGGACACATCAGAAACATGTCTAAATATATTCTTGTTACTTCCTTAAGTTTACTTATTTTTTCTACGAGTATTTATGAGAAGTATTAGCCAAATTTGGCTAATACTTCTCATAAATACTCGTCAAAAAAATAAGTAAACTTAAGGAAGTAACAAGAATATATTTAGACATGTTTCTGATGTGTCCTATCCATGGGCTTGGAATGGTCGTTTTATCATTTTTCATTTCATTATATTTATTTATTTATTTCACAGACAAACAATATTTTTTATAATTTTTTACTTTAATTTGTAAACACTCTGTATAAGCGATAAGTTGACTTACATGAAGAGTATTTAAGCTCAGGTAGTTCATTGCTTTGGTGTGAAACTACAAGTTGTTCAATACTAAAGAGACCTTACTTGGAACAGTGTACCTACTAAAAACTAAAAACATTTTTTGTTAATCGGAATATTTTTAAATAAATTCCGTGTTGTTGCCAATTAAAATGAAACACACTGTATATAATTGCATATTTTTTGTTTTTGTTCTCTTCAATATTTTTTTATATTTTATTATATAAATATAATTTTTTTTTTAATTTTTGTATTATAATACTATGTGCAGTAAAATCCCAATGCATTTTTATAAATTGATGTAACTACACTGTTATAAAAATCAGATTTGTAAACATTAGTTTGTAGTTTCTTAATTTTATTTTGTAAAATTTTAACATAATTTTTTGTAGAAAACAGACAAAGGAAAATATTTTTTAGAAAGTGCTAAGTGCGAAGTATCCGAGAAAAGATGCCATCACTGGTTTTCAAACTGAAATTAGGGGATACAGTGAAGTGGGTTAAAGTTACAAAATACATCAGTTAGTGTTGTAGTAGTATTTTTAATTATATTGTATCAAATTTATTTATAATTTGGAGATTTTAGAATGGTGTGTTAAGTATTTAATTGTGTGTATATGTTATTAAATCTTAAAAATATTTGTTATAATAACAAACTACTTAATTAGTTAACATATTACACACAGAAAAAACGCTAGCATAGCATGAATGGGTGAGCCATTAAACCAATGGGATCTTGTATTTTAATATTTTTGATTTATTAGCATAGAAAACTTGTTTTTTTTTAATAGCATTTTTACTTCTTAAACTAAATATTATTAAATTCCCTATTTTATTTTTATTTAAAAACTATCACTGCTGTAACCGGCAGTAACACGAGTTGAAGTACCAGAAGTTCCAGCTGTTCTAAAAATTGATAAAAATGCAAAATATAATCAATATAATCAAAAATACGAATAAAGAATCCATGTTTTAATATAAAAATAAAAAAAATACCTGAATTATACCACAACATTGGAACACCAAATTTCATTGACTTCTTTTTCTTTTGTGACCATTTTTGCTACAAAAACTACAATTTTTTGTAGTAATAATATTTTTGCAAAAGGACAAATACGCCAAATTTACGATTCTGAGCTTTATGCACAAAAGAATACGTACATGCTGTGGGATCATTCTGGCAAAAGGACGAATGTATATAATGGATTATATATTAAATATATATATATATATATATATATATTCATTTTTCTTTTTTAGGTCATGCAGAAATATTTTTTATTTTTCTTAAAACATAAAAATGGCATATTCGCCCTTTTGCAAAAATACCATCGATATATTATAATATACTACCACAAAAAATTGTAAATTTGTATACAAGTATTGTTTTTAAGTATAAACAAATTTACGTATTTAAAAATAGTAACATGTTTTTTGATTAAAGTTTTAAAAAGAATATTTTATAAAAATGACAAATTTTCTACTAAAAATGCTCTTTACTTGGAATGGATTCCTCGACTATATTTCCAGAATATTTAAAAAAAAAAATAAAATTGTTTTACTTATTCCTACTATAGGGTGTCCAAAAATCTACCAACTTTAAATGCGTATAATAAACAACTGAGACGTGATCTAAAAAAAACCTAATAGGGTTTTGTTGTAGAAGCTATTACATTTCATTTGCTTTTGGTTTCATCCCATTCCCTTTTGCACTGTTGCACTGTGTATTTAGTAAAAATTAACAAATATTTTTTTACTATGTTTACTGTCATTGTAAATTCATTACCCTATTGGCCATTAATTATAATAATTAATATAGAACTCATTTATCGATGGGACATAAATCCCAAACAAAGTGAAAATCTATACTGGACACACATATAGAACGATATGCAAAATCTGGGCGCGACTTGAAGTGTGCCGCCGTCGTTATAAATTCCGAAGGGGGTACGTTGAATGGACTTTGGGCGGGGCGGTTCCTCGGGCAGGAATACCTCGTTAATCCGGCTCCGGGGCCTTCGTTGATTTCGCATGATTTATCGGTCGGCTCTTTATCAAATCCCCTCGACGCCAACGTCGACGAAACTTACAACAACTTTGTTTAATATATCGCCGAAGCCTGGATTTGCGATTTTGGAACTGCGATCGCCAGGCGACACCTACTAAATGTTTTAAGCAGGCTAGAAGGTCAAATTTTATATAGGTTAGAACTATTACACTACACCTTTTCCAGTTGATATTCAGAAAGTAGGAATTGTAATTCAGTTATTCCAGTTGATTTTAAGAGAGTAGCATATGTAATTCAGATAACACAATTGATTTTAAGAAAGTAGCAATTGTAATTCAGATAACACAAATGATTTTCAGAAACTTGCAATTGTAATTCAGAAAGTAGCAATTGTTTTTCAGATTAAATCAAATGTAATTTAGCCGCAGCAATTGTTTCAGAAACAGTGGGTTGCATATAGTAAATCGATGATGATGACACGTTATCTTTATTAACTATGTAAATGAAATTTATATAAAGTACACATGAACAAAATTCGGTCTTACTTGCAATAGGTTGACAATTATGACAAATATACCTACTTAAATAGTGATAAATTTGTTTATTATTGTCAAATCCATGGAAACAAAGCAATATACAAAGAAATACATTAAATTGAGATTTTAAAAAATAAGTAAAATGAAGTATGAAAATGTTATCATTTGTTAATTTCTGAATTTCAATTGACATATTCTGAATTACAATTGTTACTGTCTGAATATTTGTAATTTCTGAATATCAATTGCTACTGTCTGAATATCATTTGCAATATCTGAATTACATCAGCTACTTTCTGAATATCATTTAAAATATGTGAATTACATTTGCTATTTTCTGAATTTCATTTGCAATATCTGAAAATCAATTGCTGCTTTCTAAATATCAATTGCTACTTTCGGAATATCAACTGGAAAAGGTGTAGTTTACAAAATCGAAAAAAATTCTGCCCACCATATCTCTTTATAATTTTTTCATGTATTTTGACTAGGGTTGGGAAAATTTTACTTTTTGCTTGTATTTGAAATTTCACTTGAAATTTTCATGACATTTATGAAATTTATTTAAATTTCCTAAATTTCTGAAATTTATTGAAACTTTCAATAAATTTCAATCACACCATGGCAAATTGCCTCTCTTACCTCCTACCCCTCTGTGGGCCCCTGCACCAATAATATTTATATATAAATATATAAATAGTAAATACCTATGTTTACCACAAATTTCTTGAGATTTCATTTTAAAATATTTTTAAAACTAAAAGAGATATAGCACTTTTTGGTAAGCTAATGAGATTGTGCCACTTTCATTGTTTTATATTTATATATATTTATTATTTTTAAGTATTTTACTGAAATTTTACGAAAATTGAAGAAACTTAATCAGAATTTTATGAGCCAAAGGCATTTTTTATCCGTTTTCCGATGCAATTATAGCAAAAGTAAAAGTTTAAATTAATCATGACTTTTAAAAAAATTTACAAATTAAATTGGTAACTGAATTAAATTATTAATTTATGCATATAAGTAACAATAAATACTTATAGTGTATTCAAATCCAAGCCGAACTAAACGCTTGATAACTCGTTCTTATTGGTCGATTCGGAATCTGTTGTAAATTATTATTAAAGGTCCCAGGGGAGGCCCCATGTGAAATTTATGCGAAATTTTCAGGAAATTGCGAAACTTTCAATGAAATTTCTGAAATTTTCACATGCAATGTTGAAATTTTCGGATTGAAAATTTCATTTGAAATTTTTAAAAATTTCACTTTTCCAACCAAATGAAATATTTCAAGATTGAAACTTTCAAAGTTGAAATTTTCATAGTTGAAATTTTCATTTGTCCCAACCCTAATTTTGACCCTAATTTTGACGAAAATCACAAAAAAAATTTTTATGGAAGCCTTTTTGAAATATGAATTTTCAATTGTTTTTTTTTATTTTCGGAGGGGTTTTGACGTTTTTGAGTATAGCTTAAAATCTAATTGATCGATTTGGTCAAACAAGCCCTTAAATTGAAGGTATTCGAGCCCTCTAAAACTTTATTTTATTAATTAAAAAAATTTACATATCGTCCTGGAAAAGGTTTAAATCATCGTGAAGCTTACATTTTTACAAAAAAAAAACAAGCTAATGTTGATAAAAAAAAACATGGAAAAATGTCGAAGTTATAAATTTTTTAGTGACTAAAATTCAGCTTTTTGACGATTTTTATTTTATTTATTTTTCTTTTATTTCGTAATATGTTTATTTTTTAATAAAAACCTAATTAAAGTGCATGATTGGAATTTTTTAAGTTTTTTACGTACTTTTTTCACCGAAAACATTATATAAAATTTAAATTTGACATGACTCCGCAATTCACTTTTGTTTCTCGTGTTGGCATAGTGACATTTTACTGCTATTTTTTGATATTTTAACAGAGTATTTTTATCATGGTTTTATTTAGTTAATAAAAAGTGTAAAATAAGTAAAAGAAGTATAGAGTTCGAGTGCGTAAATAACCCGGACAATCTGGGCGACGTTAGTGATGAGCACGGAGAACGTTTTACCAGCAAATGAAGGCTATAGAGCGGCGGTATCACGGCTTCTGGGATGTAGCCATGATGGGTGATTACATTTGGTCCCTTATACGAAAAACAGAATACGAAAGCAACAAAAAACAAAACTTTCAATATCTTCATTGTTCAATATTTATTGTTCAATATTCAATATATAATTTAATTTCAATATTAAATGTTTAAAATAAAAATCAATGTTCAATTTTAAACTTTATATAACTCAATAAAATGAAAAGCACGTAAAAATTCTCGAAAAAACTGAATTTTGGTCTTTTAATAAAAATTCATAACTTTGCCATTTATCCATGGATTTTTATCAACAGCAGCTATTTTTTTTCCTTTGTATATTTGGTTAAAATTAACAAATATTTTTTTACAGTGTATTAGTTAATTAACATACGAAACAAACCGCAAACTCAAAGTACTTTCAATCATATAAAAACATTCTTTTAAAAAAATAACCCTAATATAACAAAAACACAACATTTGATTAGTGAAATGTCGATGATAGCGTGCGATATTTAAATAATAAACGGCCGTTAAACCATTGACGAATTGTTAATACGTACGTTCGGGTGTTAATATAAAATTTTATAACTGTGAAACTGTCTATGACACCCAATGAACACGTAAATTTACATACCATTAAAACAAATTGCCGCATAAAACCATGGGATGGCAAAACGTCATCTGCTAAATTAAATCTTCCGCAATTGAGAAACTGCATTTTCGAAACTGAATGTGTTAATTTGGATATGAATATGGATGGCTTTGTCATTCAAATTCAACAAAAAATACTTTAAATTTATCCAAATCAATAATTATTAATTATAATCAATAGGTTAACAAACATTGTGGCCTACATGAAGACAACATATTTTCTGTGGTAATTTAACTAAAAAACTAAATAATACAAATTCAGTTATTTTCTTTAAAAATAACTTTTCTACTCATTTAATTAAGCACTTGCTCGCATTTTCTAAATTTAATACAGAATATACTATTAAATAATTAAATAGGTTTTACAAATTGTCATTATTTTTTCTGGTATCATTTTAATTAAAATTATTCAATTTCTCGACAAAATCAGATTATGTTAATTAATATTAATTAAAGTATGAATAAATCATGAATGTAATTATAATTATAGTAAATTCCAAAATATAAATTTTTGGATATTGTCAATTCAAAATCCAATAATTTTAGAATTTAGGTTTGTAACTATTTGGACTCAATAGACTAAATACATTTTCAATTTAAAATAAATATTTATTTATAGAGCAATTTATAGAATAGGTTTGCTATGATTTAACATTCACACAAAACTAATCAAAATATGGCCAATTTTACAACCAAAATATATTAAGGTAATAATAATATTTACCTTACAGTTTAAAACCATTTTTAATTTAAAAACTGTAAGGTGCAATTCTTGATAAAACATCGCTCTAAAGTGGATTTTTGGGGGCGATAAAGTTTTGAGAGAAAAGTAAAAATAGAGGGCTTAAAATAAAATCGTTAGAGTGGGTCATGGAAGGGTCTAAAGAATAACGCTTTAAAGAATAAAAGAAGACTCAAGAAAAATTAACTAACCCACTCGTAAAGCAGGACGAGCATTTTTAAGTAGAGCCACTAGAAAATTCCAGTGCAGATTTGAAAGTATGTGTGCTTTTAATGGAGCTTTTGAGGTAATTCGATATCACCACCCCGCAACCCCGATTTCAACGCATTACTTTACATATTAATTGTCAATGCCATCTCCTTATCGATTTTTGCACCTCAAGACAAAAATTAAAATAATATGTTTTGTATTTTTTGGTACTGCTGTATGGAAATGTTTGCCCCACTGTGCGAAACCATTTCTTCAGTTTAGAGTTCGAGCACTATTCATAGATAGTTTTCGAAGGTTGGTATCGAAATTTTTGTTTTTAATGTTTATTACCAAAGTAATGCAATATTCTAATACTAATATTTCTTGTTAATGTGTGGCAGAAACGTTCCGTTGTCTACGGTTTGTGTAAGAGATTGTATTACGTTTTCTATTGTTCCTTTCTAGAAATTAAGTTAAGTTGCATTTATATTTTAATCAATACTTGCTCTTGACATTTGTTTTTTTTTTAATCTAAGGCTTTTACTTTTGTTTAGTGCATTATAGGTGATGAGTGGTATGAGTGTCATTCTGGATTTAGAATGCACTGTTTATAGCCGCTACATCTGACGGGTATAAGTAGTACTGCCGTACTAGATAGCTTGTATTTTAAACCTAATTCATTTAGGATTTAAGTCATCCTAGATGTTGTCATTTAAGTTTGTTATTATTTTACCATGTGCTCATCACTTTAGCCTAGTTTTAGTACTTCATATTCTGGACTTTTTTAATGTTGTGATTTCTATATTCATTTTTACTTACCTTCTATAAACAGTTCTTTACAAACAAGCCCGGCAATAATTGCCTAACACACAGGATAAAGTGAAACTTAGCACGTACATATGTATATAAATCCTCGATGGTTCAATCTTATTTCCCGTTTAACCCTGATCCGTTTCAAAAGA